TTTATAACGTCAATGAGTGGGCACATCAGCCATAAGGCAAAGGCGATATCCATTAGGAATTGAATTGAATTTATAGTGTATAGGCCATCGAAAACACATTTTATCACAATAATTAAACCGCCTCAATCTTGTTGAATTTTTTTTGAAATTCTCTATAATAATTGCTTTAAGATGAAAACATTAAATATAAAATTGTTTATACCCGTACGGTATATGATATGAATACTCTAAAAACACATTTTCATAGATTTTAAACATATAAGCAATATTTAATGAAATACATTGATCTCCAATACCACATATTCTCGGCTGATTACCATATACTACCATATTATGAGAGAATGTGAAGTTTAATTCATTTCATTTGTGTTGAAATCATGAATACAGTGTTAAGTGTATGGAGTAATCAGTGAGCAGAGTGGCGCAGTGGAAGCGTGCTGGGCCCATAACCCAGAGGTCCGTGGATCGAAACCACGCTCTGCTAAGCTTTTTTGTTTTAAACATTTTATTTTTATTTTATTTTTTAAATGTAATCATACATTGAGCTTTAGTTAAATACAAATTAGTCTTTTTGAGCCATTTTCTCACTTTGAATCGAGTGATTCAGTGGTGATATACTGTCGACAATCAGTGAAAGACAGTCTAAACTGGAAACCATTGAGACATTAGGCGACGAGTCCTTCCCTGGATATAACGTTAAGAGTAAATATTAATTCACTGTTCATTTGCTCTCATATTTATTCAGTTTTTAATAATATAACCATTTTCTTATAAACTATAACATTTGAATGGCAAAAGTGTTTATTCATTGAATGTTATGCCGTTGAGTGAATTTTGCTGGTTTTCTCACATCCAAAATGAGATCATTTGTAAGGTTTGACATCAGATCGTGAGATATAAATCATAATAATTTCTCACAAAAATATGAATAAAAAACGGAAACATTTAAAATAAAGACTTATTCTTGGAAAATATTAGTTCCTTTGAAATTTATATACTGTACAAATATTTTGATCAAAATAAGTGCTATACTATATTAAAATATATTTTCGAGTAAATGTAATAAATATACTGATATTTTCCCAAACAAATTATTCTAAAAATATAATTTTATTATAACTCCGAGAATACATTAGTTTTTAACAGATTTGTATTAACAATTAAATTGAGAGCAAATAAATATAATGGTAAGTATGTGGAGACAAAAGTGAGTGTAGTTTATAGTGTTTGCGAACAAGTATTCATTGTTTTGGGCGAAAATAGTCCTCAATTGTGCCGACGATTGGAAGGCATAGAAGGCATTAAAGGCGATGCAATGCCAGCTGTGGTCACGCTTTCATAAACACTATATTTACCGCAAATGCATACAAATGTCTGCTTTTTTCTCTATTTTTTGTCTCCTAAACTGTTTTTGTTTTGAAGGTTCTAATAATCATCGCTTTTAAACAAAATTCTTTGAATTAATTTTAAGTTTTGTTAAAAGATTGGAATTCTTTAAATGTATTTCTTATTATCCTATAGTTTTATATTCTACAGAATCTATAGTGTATTTCACAAATCTCACATAATATGAGTCCTATTAAAGTGAATTAGCTACTGTATTACAGTAAGCTTTCAAGTACAGTAATACGGTACTTTACACGTTTTTAAATGTAATTAGTTACTGTACTTTACCGGTATTATTTTGTACAAAATAGGATTAAGTATTCCAAATGATATTTAAAACATAATTTAGATTTTAAATCATATCAGAAACAAGTTAAATACAATATGACATATAATATTTTGATGGCATTTATATTAAAATTGGGTATCTTGATTTAATAATAACGTAATTAAACTTTAAAACATATTATTTAAGTCATTTATAAACATAAAGCAATAAGTCATATCAAAGTCAACTGTTATGCTTATGTAACTATTGAAATTAAATTTCACAAACTTTCTAGTAACTAGAAATATTTATTTGATTATGGTAAATTGAGTTTTATTTTTAAACTAAACTTATAAAATATTTAAAATATACTATAGCTTAAATAATACTTCAGTAAATTTATCTATATACAACAGGGATAATCAAATGAATAATCATTTTGCGAAATACTAATTTAAAAATATTAAAACTAGCTATTAAGACGTGTCTTATATTATGACTAACCCTTGTATTCCTAACTGAGTTTATAGAGTTTTCTTAAAGAATAAAACTCGTTTTTTATATAAATGTACATGACATGACATAATTCGTAGTCAAACTTCACTAGTGTACTTTCTAGTTGTCATAATTATGATGATTTGGATTTAAATAATAATTGCATTTTTTGGGAAAAACATACTGTAAATAGCTTTCTAAAAATAATGATAAATGATAGAAATTTTTTGTTTATTTGTAAAATAGGCATATATTTCTAGGGTATGAAAAAATAAGTAGAATATCATTGTTTGTGTATATGAATTGGAATATACAGTAATTAATAATTATTGAATAATGAATGTATAATAATGTCTATTTATGTGACTCGTGCGACTATTGGAGCCTAAGATAAAAAATATAGACAAATATTTTGACCAAATATCACTTATAAGATATGAGACAATCTTTTTCAGTATTTCCTGTGAGATGTCTCGTTGTCTCCACAGGAAACACTGAATAACTGGCACCTCTAATGTCATGTATTTTTTGTATTCTCATATATATAGATATTATACTATTAAATAACTATACGTCACATCCGTTAGCATCATCCTTAAGAGTTATAAAACTCTTATAATTCATCACTTTCTCTCAAATTATATGAATTATACACATTATATGGAGCACTGGTATGTATTTCAAATGCAATATAAGTGAGGTCTGTGACAAAAAAGTATAGTTATTGAGAAGTGCTTGAGACTTATTTCGTCCATATGTTTGAGACGTTTTATGGGATTTTGTGAATCTATTTTGAAACAGTATAGTGAGGGCACACTTTTGTCATTGCTTTCGAAATCCTATACTGTCTCTGACTTTTTTATGAGACTAACAACACTTTTGACTGAAAAGTCAATCATATTTAAAACATTGGTTTTTATGGATGACTTGGACCCCAAATAACTGCGCTTTTATGTCATACCATATAAATAAATGACCGCTCAGTTATGTCTAAAACATGGCTTTAATTTTATTGAATAATATTCTTCAAAAATGCTTACCGTTTGAATTAAGTAACGAAAATCCATTATAAGGACCATAAATGTCGGAATTCAGATATTTTTCGCTCACATTGTTCGGAGACTAAAATAATTTGTTAATCAATTAACATTAATAACATTATAATTATTAATTTTATAATTATAGTACAGCTAATAAATAGATTATTAATTAATTTAAGTAAAATATTTAAAATTGTTGACAATCCTTATATATTCAACACGACTTTCTCTACTGTTAAATATTGTACTTAACAATTTTTTTCTAAAAGAATTTAGTTTCATGTTTCAAATCTTAAGTGTAAATCAAATACAAGAATATGATTATTTTGTCATTGCTTTCGAAATCCTATACTGTCTCTGACTTTTTTATGAGACTAACAACACTTTTGACTGAAAAGTCAATCATATTTAAAACATTGGTTTTTATGGATGACTTGGACCCCAAATAACTTTGCGCTTTTATGTCATACCATATAAATAAATGACCGCTCAGTTATGTCTAAAACATGGCTTTAATTTGATTGAATAATATTCTTCAAAAATGCTTACCGTTTGAATTAAGTAACGAAAATCCATTATAAGGACCATAAATGTCGGAATTCAGATATTTTTCGCTCACATTGTTCGGAGACTAAAGTAATTTGTTAATAAAATAACATTAATAACATTATAATTATTAATTTTATAATTATAGTACAGCTTTTATTCAATAAAATAGATTATTAATTAATTTCAGTAAAATATTTAAAATTTTTGACAATCCTTATATATTCAACACGACTTTCTCTACTGTTAAATATTGTACTTAACAATTTTTTTCTAAAAGAATTTAGTTTCATGTTTCAAATCTTAAGTGTAAATCAAATACAAGAATATGATTGGGAAGTGAAGTCTTGACTCCACTTAATCTCAATTAGAGTTTATTGATGTTTATTCTTGAGATCGAAGTTTAAGTGGGAAACACTTGTTTTGAGATGAGGTCTATAGTTATGTTCAACATTTGAACTTCAAATACACATTGAAATCAAAAGTCAGTGAAATCCAATTTGTTTATTAAAGTAATAAATCTATTGCTAGTAATCTGAATTAGTATTTGTTGTCACGAATGCCATAAAATTAAGACTTGATTTAATGTTTGGAGTCATATAATTACTATTAAAAAATTAAGCGCAAAACTTAATTTAATGCTAAACACTAAGTTGATACCATATTACACATTTGTACAATTTACACTTTCATTTACTATTTAGTACAGCTAATTTAAATTTAGTTAGTTTTTAAGTTTTAAAATTAACTTTTAATTATGTAACTTATAAATAAATACTGAAGAATCTTATAAATGTAAAGTGTATTTTAAAAATATATAAAATAGAGCATTAAATTACAGAAAGAATAACACTGTGGTTGGGCTGATATATTTAACTTTTAATTATGTAACTTATAAATAAATACTGAAGAATCTTATAAATGTAAAGTGTATTTTAAAAATATATAAAATAGAGCATTAAATTACAGAAAGAATAACACTGTGGTTGGGCTGATATGTCTAACCCTTGGGTAACCCAATGCTAATAAATCATAAGAGCAATGAGGTGTGGAGTAGTGACTAGACATTTGCATTGAATGTGGTGTCAGTCGAGACTTCCTCTTTAAAAGTGATTACAATTACTCTTTCTTTTAAACGTTTAAAAACTAGATTTTCAAAAACTAAATCACTTTTATGTCGTCGAATTGAAACAGATTGTGTTAGTTTTGGTTAATTAAAAAGTCATTAGTTATATATTGGAGAGAGAAATGCATAGATTTGATTGAGTCTTACAGTGTATTGTGAATTGATATGTGAGATCCGCGAGTGATTTATTGGGAACCCAGGACTCGAGCCCAGCAGTGATGAGCCGCTCACTTGTGAACCGTTTCTCATATTATTAGTGTTTTGTTGCAACAGATCCTCTAAATTCTCGATGTATTCAATAGCACTTCGAAGTATCTCTACTTTTGGTAGCCTTTGATTTGGATTATAACACGTATCACTTGTGAACCGTTTCTCATATTATTAGTGTTTTGTTGCAACAGATCCTCTAAATTCTCGATGTATTCAATAGCACTCCGAAGTATCTCTACTTTTGGTAGCCTTTGATTTGGATTATAACACGTCCGACGTTTCAAGATCTCAAACGCCTCGTTCACCTCAACAAAAAAATTAATTTTTTAACATTATTTCATATTTCTTGATATCTTATTAAGAGCATCAGGGTATAAATATTTGAATCTATTTCACAAGAACTCATAACATCTATGAATGATTAAAGAAAGCGAAGACATAAGACATAAGACATACTCTCCTTAATCTTCTCCTCTCTCTCATAGTCGCAGCTTTTCTGCGATCAATTGATATAGACTTTCGTTTGCATGCCTTACAGGCCCACAGCAAACACTTGCGAGACTTGTGTCCAACACAATCATCCGATCCGTTAGATTCCAATGAGTTTTGTTCACCGCTTTCTGATATGTCGTGATTGTGTTGATCCACACAATGTTCTTCAATTAGAGAAGGACTGGAGGCAAGGGATGCGCTGTCCTTTTCATTCAGATCATACGATGACAACTGAATCCATGAGTTGTTTGCATTACCGGCCAAACCATGATTTCCACCAGAGATGGCTCGGCTGACAGGCATAAGGTTTGAAGAATTGAATGGTTCATAGTTTATGATATGTGATGTACTCGACAATACACTCGTGTATTGACAGCTCCGCATATCAGCCACCATATTATCAACAAATCTTTTTCAATTATTAATAGTGTTCTCTACAATTGTTTCCAATAAAATCACTTTTCTCAATGATTTCAATGAAAATGTCTGTCATGTATGATATATACAGTAAATAACTTTTCAAACATATAAAAGAATTGCATAAATAGTGCACAAAAACCATTGAAAGTTTAAATTGTAAGTCAAAGGAAGTGGATCCAACGAATCCTTCACTTTTTTGGCAACATTTAGAGCAGGACTCCGAGCGAGTGAAGAGAGAGAGAGAGAGAGAGAGAGGGAGAGAGAGAGAGAGAGATGGTGAGGGAGGGAGGCTAAAGATCCTCCTATTGGAGTAAACCGATCCGAAAAAGATTTTAAGTTATATGCGATCAAAGATAGGACAGTAATGCTTTCCCATCGCTTGGATATACCGTACTATAAGTACACAAATACACAAAGATTTTCAGTATTTGCTGACTATTATTAACAACTTAATATGAAATAATTCTTAAATAATTCCCACAAAATTTAATTGAAATAATTCACATCGTGACAAGTTTCAAAATATTGTATTACCAATTAATTTGCAAATTAAAATTTAATCTCTCCTCTCTCTCTCTCTCTCTCTCTCTCTCTCTCTCTCTCTATTTTATTTTGCAATGAATAGTTTTTCTCCTACTCAAACCAATATTCAAGTAACTAATAATTTAATTTTATCTAAATCTCTATCTAAGGCTCTCAACAGATAGATCTCTATTTAATTTATTTGAAAAAACTACTGAACTACTGGAGCTATTTATCTATAGTTTTTGATAATTACTACATAAATTTTAATCAATAGATTCTATAATAGGACTTTATTATATCATATTAAACATTTACATAATAAGACGTTTATTAAATTATAAATATATTTATTATGTAACAGAAAATGTGTTGATTTGGTATCCATTCATAAAAAGCAATCGTGTGTTTGGAATGTGAATTGTTTTGCATAAAAGAGGCTCAAAATGATTTAAAAGCGACAAATTGGTGTTGAAATCGGAAACATGTCATCCCCTCACAGCTCATCCCAACCCCACATTAATGTGAGTGAATATATCACTGCAAACATTAGTGTCTCACGAGTTCGACCACAACTGTTGCGAGAGTTTTGTATCAAATACTAAAACAAACTTATGGTCACTGAATAGACATTCATTTGAAAATACATTGATTTTCTTTATTGTACATTCAGTTCAAATAGGTTTGCTTTAAATCTAGTTTAAATTTTTTTTATAATTTATGGATCTGTTAAAAGAAATTCAGATGAAAGCTCATTAAATCATTTAATGATAAAAAGTCAGTAATAAATTATAAGTTTGTTTTATAAAGATAAATATTAATACTGTATATTTCACACTCTAAATATGTACTAATCCATACAAAACATAAATTAAGTTATATAAATACAGTAATTTATATAATGTTATTAAATTTAGGTTTAAATTATATTATAAAATTATTATAACATAAAAGATATTACGATATACAATAGAATCTGTATATGAATAGTAGTCTATAGTTCTTATTATAACTTTGCATACAAAGTGTATAGTAGTGTTCAAATAATGCAACACTAAAATAACTTACATTTTAGATAAAGTTGGCACTGAGTGACCAAAATAACACAATCAATCGAGTCATACATCAAAATTTTACTTTCAATTCAATCTTTTGTATTAAAAGGTATTAACTAAAGTTTACAAAACTATATAATTTAAATTATAATTCTCTCAATATTCAATATTGTAATATACTTTGTACTCTGGTAATCCATGTAAATTTACTCTGAATCAATTTCTATCTCAATAACTTATAATCTTGAAAGAGTTTCATTTAATTTAGCACTTGTATAATCTAAATTATAAAGCTGTTACTACATTGTTTAATTGGGGAGTCAGTCACCTTGCTACTTATTTAAGAATTGTTAGTATAGTAGTATTGTACAGAAGTTGAATCCAAAAGAATTTCAAATCATAATTCTAGCGAAACTATAATTTGAGGCAACGATAGGACTATTAACGACATCTATTCATGTGATGGAAACACACTGTTATTGCATCTCTCGAGTGAAATCAAATGAATTGAATAATTGTAATCAAGTCAATAAAAGTACTGTTACTTGCATTTCATAGCACTTTTACCTTATCAGTTTATAAAATACCACTTTTATATCAAATTGATTGCATTATTATACAGTAAGCCATTTAATATCGTAAAGCAAACAATTTCTTACATTCAATTTGGTGTTCATCACTCAATATTTCATGAATTTTGTTAAAAGTTTAGTAAATATATTGAAAAGCAAAGATTGATTGAATGTTAAAAGTAGTGAAGTATTGAATTTCGTCTGCAATTCATTGAAATAAAAGTGAGTTTTTGAGTGAAAAACACGCGATCAGTGTTTCAGTCATTATTTGATTGTTCGTTGAATTGAAGGCATTATTTGAATTGATCCCACATTTGCAGCCAAACTATCATCACCTCAAAGACAATATAGATGTCGAGTGAAAGCAAACCAATTGTGGCCACAAATAGTGACACAAAGAGTGAGGCAGTGGTCGGCCCGCAGAAGACGAGCGACAAACCGGTGGTGAAGCCAAAGGCGCCCAAGAATTGGGACAAAATTGTGAGAGAACTGGAAGAAGAGGATAAGAAGGAGGAGACGGACGACAACTCAGACCCGAACCGTATCTTTCAGATGCTCTACAAGAATGCGGACGAAGACACCAGAAGAGCGATGAACAAGAGTTTCGTCGAAAGCAACGGAACCTCTCTTTCGATGGACTGGAAGTCTGTGGGAAAGAAGTTTGTCAAACCATATGATGATAAGGAACTGGAGTCCGATGATGACGACAAAGACGGTGCCAGTGATTCAGACCACTGAACTCACTGTCTGTCCGTCCAGTGGATACTTGCCCTCAATGTCTGGTCTCTTCATTACTCATACTTTTCATCCACTCTTTCATTCATTTTATATTTTACTGTTATTTCAAAGAAATTGTATTTTGTTTTCTATATTATTAGTTAAATATCAAAATTTATTGAATAAAAAGTTTTAATGGAAATACAGTATAATTATGATTTGAGTGGTGGGCTCTCCTGTCCACTGGTTTCACTTATTTGTCAATTAGTTGGTTGTAGTGTATGAGCGCAAACCCAACCTAACTGAATGTCTTGAGATGATTGTATGACAAGTTATGATTCAATTTGAGCGCAAATAACACTACAATTATGTTTCAAATGTGTGGCACTGAATGGCAGCAAATGTTTTGTCAAATATTCTGCTCTCACTATTCAATCAAATTCCACACATTTTACGAATATT